CCAGAGTGCTAGGATTACAAGTGTGAGCCACCGTGCTGGCCTAGAATTTATTATTCTTTACTTCACAAAATATAGTGAGCCACATCCTAGCAGTTGTGGGCTTATCTTGATGAATTATTATAAAGCTACGTTGTGCTTGTGATTTTTGCCCCCGGTAAAAGTTGCCTATCTTGGTGGTTGTCCTTGGGTGATGCATGTGATTGGTGCACTGTGTGTGCAGGAGATCTGATCAGTATTAAGAAAGAAATGTATGGCGATTTCATGGTTTTTTATTGCCCAAATCGCAGAATAAAATGAAAGGAAAAGCAAATTCACAATTTTTCATATTTAAAGTTAAAACAACTTTTTATTTGTGCTTGGTTTATTTAATAGACTTATAAAGATCAATCAGCTAGGGCCACCAGTCTTTATTTTGGTACTGGTAAGGAATGATTGGAGTCATATTTTACTTTAATTACTTTCCTACATATTTGATATGAAAGAATGGCCAAGATGTATTTTTCTGATATGGAAAACAGAAGGATGGGCAACAGGCTTCTGATTCAACAGGCTCTTGATCAAAAGGGCTGTGTACTGACTGAAGAAGAGAAAAGATCTCTGAATAATTAATTGTATGTTAAGTTAGAAAAGTTGAAACTATTTAAAAACAAGTTTCCGCTATTTTATGTGTGGAAATTGTGTGCATTATATTTTCTTTTTTTCAGTAAGAAAATCATTTTTGAGTTATAATAAAACCATCTGGGGCCCTTTGGAACTGGTAGAAAAATTGTACCCAGAAGCAGAGGAAATAGGAGCCAGTGTCCGGGATTTACCTGGTCTTAAGTAAGTAATCTTATTACTAGTTCATCCCTAACCACAGAAGTGCATTCGCTGTTCCTCTGAAGTACCTCACGCTCTAGTTTATTATCTTGTCTCAGTCTTCAATCCCCTTCTTCCATTCTCTTCAATAAAATTCTGTTCATTCTTTATTGCTCAGCTCAAATTCCGTTTCCTTTAAGAAGTTTTTCTTAGCCCCTTCCGTAAGAATTAACCACTCTTTCTTTTATGCTCTTATAACTGTATTTCCTGCTTTACTGTATCTTCAGTTCTGCCTTGTATTGCAGGAAATTGCAATTCCTTTTAAGATAGGATATATCAGTTGTGCATCTCTGTCTTCTGAGTGTTAAATTAGTTTGCCTGTAGCAGGCAGTTAATAACTATTTATTGAGGATGGATTTAGGTTGAATCCAGGGCAAGGGCTCAGGAGATTCAGGTTTTCAGATAAGCCATTTATGTACATAGGAGTTGTATAAATTACTTTTCTTTCTTGGACAAGGTTGTGTTCTATAGTATCAACAGCCTGTTTCATCAGACAAATATATATGAAATGTCCTAAAACCTAGAGTATTCTAGCTAAGAACTCATAAGTGTTGAAAATTTTTTGCAGGCTTGAAGTGTTAAGGCTAAATTTTTATGTTTTTTAGGGTGTAATTAAAATGTAAGCACTCCCTTTATCTTAATTCTGGTGAAGGAGATAATTTTTTTTTCCTTTTTTCTTTTTCTTTTTCTTTTTTTTTCTTTTTTTAGGACAGGATCTCGCTCTGTCGCCCACGGTGGAGTACAGTGGCATCATCATAGCTCACTGCAACCTCCAACCCCTGGGCTCAAACGATCCTCCTGCCTCAGCCTCCCGAGTAGCTGGGAGTACAGGCATGAACCACCATGCCCAGCTAATTTTTCTATTTTTTGTAGCTATGAGGTCTTGCTCTTGCTCAGGCTGGTCTTGAACTCCTGAGCTCAAGCAATCCTGTCTTGGCCTCCCAGAGTACTAGGATTATAGGCATGAGCCACCAAGCTTGGCCAAGATAATTTTTATGTTTAGTATTTTCTGTCAGATTATCAGTTTGTTTTCTCTTAGCTTTACAGTTTAGGGCTTTATATATTGTGGGAAATATGGTAGTGTTTTCTTGCTATTATTTCAATGTTCAAATTTGTGTAAGTTGGACTTAATTGAGTGATAAAAATAAATACCTACTATTGAGCATTGTGTCAGGGTAATAAGGTAATTGTTTTATGTGAATTATCTCCTTTAGTGCTTAAATCAATCCTACAGGTAGAGATTATTATTATAATAATTGTATATATACGAAAAATAAAGGCCAGAGAAGTTACAGTTAATAAGTGGCAGGATGGGCGAGGTGGCTCACATCTGTAATCCTAGCACTTTGAGAGGCCCAGGTGGGAGGATCGCTTGAGGCCAGGAGGTTGAGACCAGCCTAAGCAACATAGTGAGACCCTGTCTCTATAAAAAAATAGAAAAATTAGCTGGGCATCATGGCACACCTGTAGTCCCACCTACTTGGGAGGCTAAGGCAGGAGAATCACTTGAGCCCAGGAGTTTGAGGTTGCAGTGAGCAATGATGATGCCACTGCACTCTAGCCTGGGTGACAGAGCAAGATCCTGTATCCAAAAAAAATAAAAAAGTGGCAGAGGTAGGATTCAAACCCAGTTTTTAGAGTTAAATAGCAAATGGTGTTCAAACTTGATGTTACTTATAATGGCATATTAGGTGTAGTAGTTTTTAACAAACATAGAGGAAAAATGGAGTTTCAAGGGAAATATAAGATTTGGTTTTCTTTTGATATAAAAATACATGTTCATATTTTTTTAAAAAGCCAAAATTTACAAAATGTTTCCTGATGATGTTTGTTAAAATGCTAAGCTATAAGAAACTCATTGATTTTTAGAAGTGAAGATTAAGTGTCCTCCCAAGCTACCTGACAAAATGTTCTCTGTGTAAGAAAACAAAATGTGAATGATATCATTCCTTTTTTTTTTTTTACAAAAATACATATTCTTTAAAACTTGCTTGTAAATATAGAGCTTAGATAAGAGAGATATGAGATTTAATTTCTTAAGTGCAACTGGGTAAAAGAAATATTTGAAAAACAACAAGCAGCAGGGTGATTTGTCTTTAATTACCAACTTGGTATCTTCTTAGCTTTATTATGATTTGTAAAATTCAGATACAATGTTACCTAATTTTTGAAGGCATTGTACTACCATATTGATAGATTTTGGATTCATTTTTAGAGGGCTAAGCCTACTTGTACTAAATATTTCTTCTAGAAATATTCTCACAACAGTCCTGCCCTGTATAGCAATGTGTCAGTCAACTGTGGTGGTCCCATACGATTATAATACTGTATTTTTACTGTACATTTCTATGTTTAGATACGTTTAGATACACAAATACTTAACCATTGTGTTATAGTTGCCTGCAGTATTCAGTATAGTAATATGCTATACAGGTTTGTAACCTAGGAGCAATAGGCTATACCATCTAGGCTTGTGTAAGAGTGATGTTTGCACAATGATAAAAGTACCTAGGGACATATTTATCAGAACATATCCCCAATGTTAAGTGACCCACAACTGTAGAGAGTCATTTCTTCAAAGGCATAAAATGGTACCTAGGTGACCTACAGGAGCATATTTAGCTAGCTCCCAGGGATTGGTTTGTTGGCTTAACTATAAAAATGTAAACAAAATCATGATAAAATGCCCTTTTTCTTTGTTAATGTGTACCTCAACAGAGATAGAACATGTAGTCCATGATCTTTGGAATAGGGTTGTTTTCTGACCAATTGGCTCTTCTCATTAGGACACCCCTGGGTCGAGCAAGAGCATGGCTTCGATTAGCCCTCATGCAAAAAAAAATGGCTGACTACCTGCGTTGCTTAATTATTCAGAGGGATCTCTTGAGGTTAGTATTATTAAATCATGTTCATTTTCATTTTTTTATTTCATTTGTATCTTGTCTTCTAAAAAGGATTGAAGATGGCATACAAAAGGATATATAAAATATAACAAGATGAATGAGAGAGAAAAACGTGGTGGGGGCATAATGTGGATTGTGAACTAGCCTAAAACGTGAATACTATAAGCTTGTTATCAGCCAATAAAGGGAAATGTACATATATTATATTTCTTAGTTTCATTTTTCTGAATTTTAGTTAATTTTATGGATAAAAATTTGTGTTGGAATTTGGGGGTTTAATTTCACAGGTTTCTTTTTAGATCTTGAATGTCCAAATTACTGCTTTGAGTGTATTGTGGGCATTTTTGTTTTTTTTCGAGACAAGGTCTTGCTTGCTCTGTTGCCCAGGCTGGAGTACAGAGGTGTTGTCATAGCTCACTGCAACCTCTAATTCCTGGGCCCAAGCCATCCTCCTGGGTCAGCCTCCCAAGTAGCTGGGACTATAAGGGCTTGCAACCATGCCCACCTAATTTTTTAAAAAATTTTTTGTAGAGGGGACGGGTATTTGTATACACAAGGAGTGCAATGCGCACTACCCGAAGGATGGACATATTTGAAACACAGACTTCGGAGCGGGGGAACCAAGGGCAACACACGTAACTTAAACATCTGTACAC